ATAAAGTTAATTCACCTTCAACTAATCATGTGATTCTAATTCTTCTTAGAGTTTATAAGTTTGAAATGAGTCCTTAAATCTTTTAATCTTCATAACAAAACTTATTGGATTAGCATTAACTCACCAAAAGAGAAACGGCGAAGGTTGACAGAGAATGAGAACACATATAGCATTGAATAATTCGTGACCAGTATTAGTTTTGGATGGGGTCAGGTAGGTGGAATTTGTTATTAAGCAAGATGCAATTAATTTTCATTTTAGATGTTGTAGGGTTGGGTAGTTGTGGCATGACCCTAATCCAGTTGAATTGAATTGGGTGCTGGACTTCAAAAATGATAATCAATTCTACAATTGTAAACTGTCAAGAGGATATGAAAAATTAAATTTGGGATGGGAAATAATATTCCAATGCTAAGAAACTAATTTGCCTGACCCGAAGATTTTAGGATTCTTTCCCCTGAAAAATATATCACCCAGACTAAAATTTGACTTCAGTAGATTGAGATAAGTTTCCAGACATGTAAGATAGAGAACAAAAGAATCACAATAGGATTTATATCCAACCTTTCAAGCTAACAACATGGAAACTGTTGTTGATAAGAATTGAATGAATTATTACCTTTCCATCTTCTGGTATAGAATCATTTTCCTGGTGATTATGAGAATGCTTCTTTAAACGAAACATGTCAATCTTCAATGGAGCACAATGTACGGCAACAAAACCTACAAATAAAGGATTCTTTAAACTTGTCAGGCTATTCCAGTGAGGATTGATATCCTCAACAGTCTGTAGCTAAACTTTATGAAGAATGCCATTACAGACACTGATTAGAAAAGGTTTAATCACATAATGCCACTGTTTACAGAATTCTTAAAGCATAAAAAATAGTTTTAGTTATTAATGAGGATTGAGAACCAAAATTGGGGAGGATTAGAAAATCTCGACTGAACAATAGCCAATGACTCAAATATTTATCCGTTTTCCCCGTAAATAAGCTCAAATAAACGTTAACAGTTCTATATTATATAAGGGGAAGTCCTAATACATTTTAAAACTAAAAAGAGTTTTCCACAATTAAATTGCATCAATAAATTGGAAAAGATTGTCGGTATGGGTCCATGACTGGAGAGTGTAAAAACCAAACTATCCATTTAGTAGCTATACGATACCTGCTGATCCTTGTATCCTTACATATTTCATTATCCATTTTAAATTCACAAAGTGAAAAAGCAACAATTTGTTTAACTTTTTTATGAACTCGATTTCTGGAGGCGGGTAAGTGTTCTCCCTAATCGGTACAGACAACAGACCAATCCAATCCATAGAGGGAGGGAATAGCACCCCAAACAACAGAATATAGCAAGACTGCGAAATTAATTACCAGTATGTTGATAAATCGAACTAATACTAAATGTTTTAGGAACAATCGACCCTCCACCTTTCCATAATGGTATGATATTAAGCTCTCATGGTTTTGCTTTTGATTTCACCTAAAACATCCAATACCAATTGAGATGTTTGTCCCTCGCTTTATATGTCCATGATCTTCCCCTTATCTAAGAAACTTTGGTTGCAAACCGAACAAAATGAAAATTGAACTATCTGAACATGATCATAATCCACGAGATTGAATTGCAATCGGAAATAAAACTAGAGTCGTAGGGCAAGAGTTTTACTCAATTACCAAAATCCAACAAGGAAACCGATGCAGTTGACCACAACAGAGAACACAAAACGAACCGAGAAAACAACCGAACAAACAGGAAAAATTAAAAGGAGGTAGGTAGAAAGAGAGTAGATAATCCAATCCACGACAAGCTAAATCAGAGTCAAACCGATAAAAACCAACAACCATCGAGGCAAAACTCGGAATAATCAGATCTACTCTAAAATAAAGACGGAATACAAGCAAGTCATCCAGTACACTACACACACTAGCAGAGTGGAAGAAATCGCAAGATTCCAAAACCAGATCGGAAAATTTACAGAAAAAGCACCTGAAGCAAGCAGAGGGGCTAAGAAACCGGAAGCGAAGCTCCTTGAGCAAAATCGGAGAAGCAAAAACAAAAAAAAGAAAGATGAAAATATTACCGAAGAAGAGAAGCCAATGCTGTGATACATTCGATTCTTCCTCCTCAGAAAGTTCGTACGAGCTTTTCTTTGTTGCTGTTCTTCTTCTGGTAACCGAATCAGTTGCAGAGACGATGAGGGCACGTGACGGAACTGGTGGCTTCCACCAAAGACCAATGGAGCCACGCTTTCTGCGTAAGAGCGAAAGAGGAGAAAAACTCTGAATTCGTGTTTGGCGCTTTTTCTTTTATAGTTGTTCCATAGTGGGGTCCACTCAGCTCTCTTTCTGTCTAGTTGGGGTATCAATTCTCCAATTGGTCGGATTTTGATGGTGGATTCCAACTTTCGATCGCGCTCGAATTGATTTATAAATTTTACTTCGACTTATTTTGTTATAAGATATTTAGAATAAAATGACATATTTATTAAGTTATTAAAATTGGAGTAAATTACAAAAATATCTTGTAACATTGTCTTAAATTAAAAATGTCTCCCTCTTTTTAAAGCTTAGATACTATCATTTAACCTCCCATAAAAAGATATCATTGGAGCAGACATAAATTCATATTTTAAATAGAAAGTTGACGTGACAATATCTAAAATGACATGACAATTAACGTGAAAGTTTGTTTGGATTAAGATTGGAGAAAATGTGGAGGTGCTTTCATTTTTTAAAAAATTGACAAATAATAGATGCACAAACTTTGTTGACAACGGAGGAAAATAATAATAATAATAATAACTAGGGATATCCGTGTCCAAATCATTTGTGCTAACCCAGTTAAATTTTAAGGAGATTAGTTTCTTTGAGAATAAATTTTTCTTATTTACAATTTATTTTAAAGAAATGAGCAATCAAGTTAAATTATTCATTTAAATGGTTAATTATCAACGGGGAATCTCTATTTAAACAAATAAATTATTGAAATTTTTAATAAAAAGAAAACAAATATCTCATTTTAATTTGAAGCTAAATTACAAAAAATGTACAGTGAATTTTATCATTTATTTAAAAATATCTCTACTATTATTATTATTATTATTTGACAATGACACCCCTAGTTCTAGTTCCAGTTGGCTTTTGTTGAAAGCCTGAAAGGAACGGAAATTACTACCACGCACAACTCGTGCGCGTCATACGGAGTGTGTGTGTGTGTGTTTTTTCCCATTTTGAAAAGAAAAATAATTAAATGGTAAGTAGTATTACTTTGGAAATAAATATGGTTTAAAATATATTCAACTTAATTCTTTTATTCAATCATGAATTTCATTCAAATTTATTATTTATGATTTTAAAAGTTTAGATTTAATTTATATAGTTTGGTAAAATTTAACTAGTATATTAAAATTTTGGTTAAAATATTATTTTAGTCTATATATTTTGATTCATTTTATTCTCTATAATTTCAAGATTTTATATTAAAGAGTTTTTTTATAAATAAATATCAAAATGATCACTTTTTAAAAGTACATGAGCTGAAATGAATATTTTAAAAGTACATGAAACAAAATGAATAAAAAACTAAAAGTACATGAACTAAAATAAACCAAATTCAAAATAAATTAAATAGTATTTTAATGTAAACTTTTAATCTTGAATCGTTCTAAGAGTTTGAGTTTGGTACGCTTTTTGACATTATGAATAGTTTACTTTTAACTCATTAAAAGTGTTTTTATTACTTTCATTACTCTTTTTTCCTTAAAAGTTAAAAGTAGGAATGCTCATTTTCTTTGAATGGAGACCTGTCCCTACCTAAATGGGATGGAGAATCCCCATTTAAATTCCCCACGGGTAGAGATGAGGGAAATTTTTTTTCCGCAACCTAAATGGGGACGGGGACGGGGAATCCGTTCCCCGCCTCGTGTCATTTTTTTAATGTTTATATATACATATACACACTAAAATAATTATATTATCCTCTTTAAATATATATGTAAAAAAAAATTATGTATTGTTCTCTACCCACCCACCTACCTAATAAATGTATTTAAGAGAATTAGACCTTATAAATTAAGCAACTAAATAAAATTTTCTTTCAAGAAAACATTATTTAGTGACAAATAATTTAAAACATAAAAAAATAAATAGGGAAGAATTTCTCAGCGGAGATGGGAAATTAAATGGGAGAATTTATAATTTATGAAGTGTACTTTGAAACTTTATTTTAGAATTTTTTTTGATACAATACATAGAGATAGAGATTGAACTGTCAACTTCATGGTTGGTAACATGAGTCCTACCATATTGAGCTATGTGTTGATTGGTAACTTTATTTTAGATTTGATTAATAATTTTTACGTGTTTTTAAATTTTAATGTGATTGACAAATTTTTGTTGAGAACTTAATCATTGCAAAATTAATGACCCTAATTAATAATCTATTAATAATCTATTGATCTAGATTCCTCGTCCTTGAAATCTCAAGACTAAATATCCAAATCTCTATTCATATTCTACCTAAAGTGCCTTATACTGATTTTTTTTCTCTGTTTCTGACCCATGTGAAACTTTGGTCGAATCGTGATAATCCGCATCAGAGCCTCTTTCTCATCTCACCAGGTTTTAGAAAAGTAGTTCTATTACGAGGATATCTCTGTAGCCAACAGAAGATCAGAAGATCCTCTTATTTTTTTTAGTACAACATGTCGAGATGGGAGATCGAACTCACAACCTCTTGCTTGGAGGTACATGCCAATTACCGCTGAGCTATGCACGCTTTGGCCAGAACATCCTCTTGTTGACAGTGCATTTAATCGAGCATAATATCGATGTTAAGTTCTAACGACACAGAGGGCTTCCAGTACACTAGGCTCGTTCTGACTTTGTCATCTTGTCCTGAAACCAGCATCATGTGGCACAAAAAGAGAGTTTATTGAGTATATGAAGAGTAATCATGCGCTTTGGTCCCAGGAACCATTGCTCGGAACCTCTCACCCAAGCCTCAACCTCCACTAAAGTCGAGTCAATGTGTCAAGGACTGAAACCATTCTCCAACCGTTCTCCCACTATTGCCGAATAGGTGCCTAGATCCTCGCAGAAATACCTAATAACCACTAAGTGGGTCCCACATTTTGACATTATAAATACAGAAAGTCTTTTATGTACAAAGAAAACACCACAAATTCTACTAACTTGAGCGTTGGAGCTCGGTTCTTTTCTTGCGCAAGTCGTATTGCACTTCTCGTATTCATCCACTCTTGTTCTCTTATTCAAATTTTGCACTTAAATACTTGCTATTTAGGTAGTTTTAACACTGCTTCAACAAACAACGTGCTAATATAATTTGAACCTCTCAAATATTCCAACAGTTTTGGCTGTTCGATAATTGGTTTTGGATTCTCATGCTAAGAAATTAAATAATGAGAAATGAAACATTACCAATATCAAACATAAACATGTCCTTAATTTTTTGTTTTTTTCCTTAATTTTTTTAATATATTAACAAATGTGCTAAGATTTCGAAAATGGTTGACTTTGAGGCCCCCTTTACTTACTCTCAATCGTAATGGAAATCAATCCTAATGAGAATTAATCGTAATGAAATCAATTGGAATGAGAATGTTATTCCATTGATGTTGTTTATTTGAACATATCTGGAATCGAAATCATAAACCAATTTATGGTGTTTACTTCCATCTGTAATCCTAATCAAACATATGTTGATTACCAAAATATCCTTATATATTTATAATTAATATAAAATTACATTAATTAAAAAGGATTTTATGGAATTCTTTATAGTGAAAAAAAAATTACTTATAATAATTTTTAGATCTACTTATATTATTTTACTTAATAGTAATAAATTATATATTTTGTATTTAAGTCTAATTTTTTTTTACACTTTATTTGATATTATTATTACATTATTTATTATAATAAACATTATTTTACCAATTCAATCTAAAATTAAATAATTTTATAATACAAACAGAGAAATGAGAAGAGGAAAAGTGGAAATGGAATCGTTGAAAAAATAACTCTAATGAGCCGGACATCTTGATTCTTACGTTTGTTTTGTGGTAATGTAAGATACCTGGTTATTTTGAGATGTCCGGGTATCCTAGAATGCCTATTTGGAAGGCATCCGAGTCGATCTGGAAACATGGGTTCCCATGATTTCCATGTCGAGGGCATCCAATATTGACATTTTTACCTTTTGTTATATTTTCATATATTTTCTTTTATTAAAGTTCTTTGGTTTTATTTGTAATTTTATAGTTTAAATAAATTAATATACTCATTGACTAATAAGCAATTGAGTATATTCATGTATTATGTACATATAAAATAAACTTCAATAAAATTATATAGTAACTCCTTTTAATTTTAACATTTTTTAATGGTCAGCTTACCTTTGTTATTTTTCTTCTTAAAAGAATATAATTTGATAATATAATAAATGAATTTTACCCCATATAACACTAATTATATAATTGTATTTTAAAAAAATATTAAAATTGAAAATGAAATTTATATTCAATACTAATTATTTAAAAAAAAAGTCTTATATTAATATGAATTCTACCTAATAACATACAAAAATTAATACATATAAGCAATTAATATAAAAAACCTAAAATATTAAATTAATTTTAGGAAAATCAATTATATAAAAGTAAATTATATTAGATTAATGTATAAATTATATGAATATTCGTAAGGGTATTTTTGGAACATTATATAAATTTAGAACATTCCCATGGTTATCCAGATATTCCCGGACATCCTTATATATTTTCCTACGAAACAAACATGACCATCTGAAATGCCGAACATCTAAAATTCCGGATATCTGAAATTCGAGGCATTTAAAGATGCCGGACATCTACATTCCCAAAAAACAAAGAGCTCCTAAAAGAAAGCAAAAAATCATGAGTCTACATGAGAGAGAAAAGGGCATTGGTTGTCAAATTACCAAAAATATATTGTGTGTTTACACAGCTATTTTGCGTGTAATGGGATTGCTTGGGAAGTGATTCCAAAATTTGGAGTGGATCCCACGTTTTATTACCATTCATTCATTTTGGCAAACATAATCACACGTAATGAAAATTTTGTTTAATGTCATTTTTTTCAAGACAATTATTTTTTACAGCAGTGCAGTGTTTGGTATAAACATTTAAAAAGAAAAAGGAAAAGTTTTATATATGTTTTGGTCCTTTTAATGATTTTTTAAATGTAGAGTTCTGTGTTAACTATGTTTTAACCTTTTTCAATTATATTCTCATTGGTCAGTTAGTATTAAAATCAGCTGATAATAAATATATACACAACGTGATATACTTGATGAGACTGCTTTTCTTAAAGAAAAAATATATAAATTATAACATTAACCAAAAGAAGAGAGATGGTGTCCAACTTTTAAATAACAAGAACTAAATTGAAACCTAATTATAAATATAACAAGAACTAAATTGAAACCTAATTATAAATTGGATTCCTGATTCTGAAGGTCCCAACTGGGGTGGTGTGAATCCCAGGATTCGATTCGATTTGCTTCTTCACTTTAGCTGCCTCTTCTAGGCAAGTCCATGACTGGTCAAACTAAATTTTCAAATTAAAATTTCATCTAATTAAATACACTTGAAAATTAATAGTTATTTATTTTGAAGAATGTGAATCATGAGTGGAAGAGAATGCATGAAATAATTGACGCTTAATATAAATAGGGATCAAGATGGTGGGGCCACGTTAGGGGTAATCTAGAAATTTTTTCTCATCACCACTTCGGTTTTCGAAAGTTTAGAGCAGTGATTCCCATCATGTTGGCTTCTCCATATAACGACCGATCTTTTTTTTTTTTTTAATTAAGAACACACATCTTTTTCTTTCTTTAAAATATTTAAATTAAAAAAATAAGCTTTTTTTTATAAATATAAGATAAATGAGTATAATTAAATATCAATAAAATAGTTTAAATGGTATTTAATTATAGAATTAAATAAATGAGTATAATTATACCAGTATTTTAAATGGTATTTTAAATGAGTATAATCTCCGATTTGACCAGGACCCAATCAGGTGGATGCCCGCAAGGATCCGACCCACGGTTTCTTTTTATTATTTTTATTTTTATCATATTTAGGTGTAAAGAAATGCTTCAATTTTTTTTTTCATTTATTTATTTCAAAGAAGAGTTTGAATTCATAGCGCGGGTTTACCAATATTCCCCATACTTTTTAGCCTGTTGAAATTGGCCCTTTTTGGTAGGGTTATTCGTTATTTTATTTTATTTCATTATTATCCAACATGTAATTTTATTTCAATTAAATTACAAGTTTCATTTAAAATTTAAGCATTGTATTTAACATAGTATCCAAAATAGTCATCTATTAAAATTTTCTAAAATTTCAAGAACTTGTTCGACGTACTACCAAACTCATAATTTAACGCCCTTTTTTTTCTAATTTCATCTCAGTCTAAACTTTTAGATTAATTTATTTAGATATCTAAAATTTCAAAATATATGTTTTATTTACATTCAATAAAATGTGATATGAGCTGAATTCCAAATAAAATAAACGATGAAACAATGATAATTAAAGGGATGTAATAGTATCTTAGAACTTCAACTTCTCAACTCACCCATGTAATTTTCTCTTCATCCTATTATTTAGGTAAGACGTTTGAAATTTCAACTCATTACTAAAATATTCAAAAGTTAAAGAAAAACACGTCAACATAAACATAATTAAACTGGTTAGAACATATATAGTCAACATAAACATAATTAAACTGGTTAGAACATATATAGTCAACATAAACATAATTAAACATATATTAAACTAATACATGCAAAAGAAAGCGCTAATCATGAATCTCATTAAACGAAAACCCATGCTACTACGTAACTCATCAACTCACTAATAATATCAATTTATTTATCTAAAACTAATTATGAGATATTATGAAAGCAGAATTAAAATGAAACAGTTCGGAATATGAAGACTAAAAAGACTAGATATGTAATTTGAATAAATGCGTTAACAAATTAGTAGATATTATAGTGCTTGAAGCATGATAGCGCATGGTCAAACTTTGGAATTAAAAAATGAAAATATTTGGAGTTCATTCAAGTGCACTCAATTTTCAAACGTGTTGGTTAGGCTTATAATTAATTGTTTTTCTTAAAATATAAGTCTAGCTTCTAAAGTTTCTCTGAATTCTAATTTAATCTGTAATTAAAAAAAAGACGAAAAACAAAAGAAAAATTCTAATTTAGTTGCTTAGAAGATTTTAATTTTCCTTCTTCAAAGTAAAAGCTTAAAACATTGTTACTACAGTCCTAAAAAAAAGTGTCGTGACTCTTTTTTTTTTCCTTCTAATTTCTAATATTTACAAACAACTTGAATGTTCAAAAATTTGGGCAAAAATTCTTTCAATTTTCTAACTTCTCGCTTTGGCTATTAAATAAGTTCTAATCAAACCCTAATTTTTCTAATTTCTACATGAATGATATGTTAATGTCATCTCCATTATAAGGCATTATGTGTTAATTATTATGTGGATGATATTCGGTAGTAGAATAGGTTGTGTCAACTTTAAGGACTCAAGTCTAATAATTAAAACAAAGAGGGGCCAAATAAATAATAATAATATTTTTAATATATTTTCAATGCACTTTTTTTCCTTTTGGTTTATTAGATAATTTTACCACTTAAGTCAATATATACACCTATATCATCCATATAGATTAAGAGGGTGGAATAGAATTAGTAACTATAAAAAATGAGATTTAAGTATAATTGATTTTTCAAAATCACTCTAAATGCTAACCTAACTTAAAAATCAATTAAAAGTGATATAAAACTTAGTTATATGCAAAAGTGATTTTAACCGGTGACTCAAGTACTAAACTAATGGAATATTTTTTATCACAAATAAAAAAAATTGTAGTACAATGTTGGATCTTTCTTTTCAGAGTTCAAAGTAACATGTAAAAAAATGCTCCACTTATAGAATTTGTCATTAAGACTAGACTTTGTTTCTGCTGCTTTCAGAGCTTGATTGAGAAATTAGAGTTAGGATAGAAGATCTGGATGGATTCGAACCATCACCCTCTCAAACCCCTTGGAGGAAATTGAGCGCTCTCCCATATTTGAGCTTACAGATCTATTACAATCACCATACCAAATATGGTACTCACTATATTAATTAAGTATACCTATTAGCATTAAGTTCCTATGTTCTACAACGATTTCCAATAACCTTTATTATAAATAATTAAAGAAAAATTCCAAGCTCATCGGACTTTATACAAAATGATTAAAATAAAACAAGGGGAAGGGAATTTACCGTCCGTTTCAATCGCGAGGGCAGAAGCATATTCCCGTTTAAAACAGCAAGCGTTTTTTTGCCCTTACGCGTTGAAACAGAAATTAAACTTATTCTCCAAAAACTAAATAAATAAAAAGAAATCCAAATTACAAGGTTGGATACTTGGAACTCTAAAGATTATGCTCAAGATACGTTAAATAAGTAAATAAATAAAATCTATGAACTAAACTTCCACATTGAGGGGATTCGACACCGCACTTGTTTAAACTTCGTGTATCATGTAACAGATTAAAAACATGTCACTATTTCAAGGGCTTGACACTTGTTAAATATGACAGAGAGACCTAACTCCTAATCCGATCAAGTCTTCTTATAAAGGAACAACAGTTTTACCGCAGAAAGAATGTCGTTCAAATTAGCCAAAGGTAATTGGCTACTAAAATAAAAAATATTAATAACGCACGCTTGAAAGCTCCAAGTGATATTAACAGACATAGGTCGTGCACATCCTCATCCTCAAAATCTCATGTACCAAATTGTTGGGAAAACCTAGAACGGTTCAATCATCGGTTTTGAAAAGTAATTAAATTACATCCGATCTGTTCAAAATCTCATGTACGGTCAAAGCTCTCTGTTAATAGACAGTTTTTTAAAATACGCCATTGTCTAAATTCACCTCTTGAAATCTGTTCATTTCTAAGAACCTACTGCTTTAAAAATTCCACTACTCGCGACTTAAAAAAGGGTCTGCAACAAAAGTAAACTTAAGAAGATATAGTAAGGAAAACCCTGACCAAATAGTAGTGATTATAAATTCCATACTCTGATCTCCAATGGGCCTTGTACGAATCAATATAAAACACCCATGAATTCATGCAAATATCGAACATGAATAACCCACAACTATTCTTAAGCACTCTATAAATTTCTTCAGAACTAATAATAACCACTATCTTCATATCTAGATCCCCATGCTTTTTCCTAACATGTTAAAGGTTTCAATTAACATTCATATGAAATGCAACTTCAAGCAAATCTAGCATGCCACTACAAGAAGTGTTGAATGTACTATTTTCATTGAATGAACTAAAACAATCAAAATCGAAATCTACAAAATCATGAAACTGAATAAACTTGAACCAAGCATAAAACGAGGAATAGAACCCTCCAAAACTCTGAATTCAGATAGACCAACTCTTCGTGCACACACCCCCAATTCAGTGAAGGGCAATACCCGCTCGGAAAAGTAACAAGAAGCAAATAATCTATTACGAAGTATAAGCATACTGAATATACTCAAGTTTCAGTAGTAAAAGTTCAAAAATAACTTAATTAAACCTTTCTTTCATCACGTCCAAGTTATAATGGCCGAGCTTCTAGATCCATCCAGGTCTGACAGCTTTAACTTCCAACACCAAGCGTCCAGTTCTGGGCTATCAGAATGACACCAGATTTTCCAAAACCAATAATGGAACTAATACTATAACGTAACAGACTTGAAATATTTCAAAGACCATTATGTACAAACGTTACAAGTGCTGGACAAATTCATAAAAACATTCAGTGATAATCATTGTTCTACACATCGTGAACTGGAGGATTGGAAGTATAAATAATGAACAGCACAGGAACCATAAAGCGATAAAAGAACTTATTTGCGTAGGTAAAAAAGGCGTGAATCATTGATAAATTAAGCAGATGTATACTACACAAATTTTAAAGTATAGGCATCCTCGTAGAAATTAGGAAAATGGACACTCATGAACGACAATTACAAGAGATGATTTTTAGTTAAATTATTCGTCAATATCAAGAAACTAATCACTGCAATTATCAGAATAATTCGTACAACGTTGGAATTCTATTTACCTTAGAAACAATTGACGACTCCTCACATATTTGCATAAACTGTTACTGGAAAACATGAAACATCCCCAAAAGACACCATTACCTCTCAAAACCAGTTCAAGATTTGTAACCCATGTGCTTATTTATTGTGGATAAGAACAATTAAATCCTCAGCGCGATTATGATGGATTAAAACACTTCTCCAGATAAAATTACTACAAATAAAAACATTTGACATAAATGATTATAAAGGATTAAAAACACCGTATACATGATTATGAAAGATTAATATGCATATGGGAATAGAAGACGATAAGAATATATGACAATTGCATTAGGAAGTAAAATCTGCAGATCAATTATTAATAGCAATTCCTTTTTTGAACATAAAATAGCAGATTAGGTAACGAAAAAAATATGCGAACGCTAATTTTCTTTTTTACGTGTGACTTTTTTCATGATAGTTTTATGTGCAAGAGAATCGTCAGAAAATACCTTGGCGTGAGCGGAGAGAAATCAGGTAAAAAGCTATGATCCGAGCAGCGGTTGCTGGCGGTGGCAGTTGTAGAAACGAACTGAGAGAAAGAGAGAACAAGAAGAAAACACACCATCGAGAGGAGACCCCGGGCAAACTCCGTGCGATCTCCCCTCAAAACCAAAACAGTACTATTTTTTTATTATGGATGACCTGCCATGCAAGCGCACCTGTCAAGGCAAAGGTCGGATGACAAAGATACATCAGGATTCATCCTCCACAAATAGGAAGTTTTTCCCGATATCTTTTACATCCAGAGTAACGCTCATCTACGCTCTCCGATGCTTTCAAAATTATGATACAAGTTACAGCATCCATCAATCCAATAGCCAATAGAGTTCTGCTACATCAGTCTTGCGAGATCAAACGAGCGCCATGAACAGCTACATCCGTCACGATGAACCGCCTCACAGTGAATAGACGGGAACCTGCGCCGGCGATTCAGTGAGGAACGGAACCACACGATGGTTCGAAAAGTAGAAATCAGAGTTCGACATCATTTCCAACTTCTACGTGCTCCGAGAAATCAGAAAATCTTCCTCTTGACAAAGAAAAAGAACATCAAACAAATCGTCGATAAATATGAAGATAAAAACTAGATCTGACTCATAATATAACTGATGAACGAACGCTAGTAAATCATTCAAATCCAGGAAAACAAGGGAAATTAATCGAACCGAATATCATCGTCAGACAACAAACATAAAAGGAGAATCAGATCGGGAGTTGAACCTGTAAGAATCGAAACTAGCCACCAGAATCGGCGCCGGAAATGATCCGAAACGACAACCAGCGAACAGATCCATGCCTTGCGAAGATCCACCGATGCGAGGTCGCCAAGAAAAAAGTAGATCTACAAAATGAAATGACAAAGGGAAGGGGTGGAAGAAAACCCTTGCGAAGGCTACCGATGAGGGAAGATTGGGTGGACCTTATCCTTTTAAGGAGGGAGGGTACGAAATGGACGGTTGAGATGGAAGATAATGGGAAAAGATCGACGGCTGAGATAGGGCAACGTGGTTGAATTATTATCGCTGAACACGGTGGAATAAATGCCGATAAATATTTTGGCAGGCGGTTTCGTGGTTATTTCCATTGCGTTGTCTTCAAGCAAAGACGATGCCAAGTTGAACACGGCATCTGGAAACTTTATATTCAATCGATTTTTTTATTTTTTCAAAATGAAAATGGGTTGCAACTTTTGACCTATTCTAAAGCTATTATATATTATATTATATTACGTCATTAAATATTGTTTAAAATACAATTTATTCCCACCAACCAATTTTATTCAGTCAATAAGATTTAAAATTTTGCATTTGAATGACAAAATTCATAAATTAAATTAATTTATATCCACCAATTTGAGACGGGTTAAGAACTGGTTACCCCACCTACTTCTGAGGTTAAAAAAAGGCAATTGATGAAAAGGTACTGTTTATTTACACACACACAAATCTTAAGAAGGATTTAATCCCACTTGTAGGTTCTTAAGAAATAAACGAAAGAGATGAAGATTCTCACAAAAAGAGTCTTTCTAGAGAAGACTCTAGATCATCTTAAGAATCTCTTTACACAAGAAGGTGAGCCCAAGTTCAGGCCTGGCAAGGAATAGACAGTCAAGGCCCAACCCATAATACTCCAATGGACCAAAACCCCTATGCAAAACATGCAAGTTCAAATGGACGCAACAATCAGATCAGGACGGATTCGAACCGTCAACCTCTCAAATTCCAGCAAGAAATTGAGCGCTCTACCCATTTGAGCTTACAGATCTATCAATCTCAGTAAACAAAATAACAAAAACAAAAAAGAAATATACGTACATCTATATCAAAAAAATTACAAAATATCCATAACTTATAAATTACAACCTTATACAATCGCTGGGCATAGCTCAACTATCCCTGACCTGGTCATGGGGTTAGGAGTTTGAAACCCCCACTTAAATGTTCTTAATAAGAGAGGAAAAAACACCTTATATAATCACGAGAGGGTGCCTTAAAATTCTTCGTAATAAAAATTTCTCGGGTTAATAAAACGAACAACCAAGAATTACATCTCCAATCTCCTACTACCCAAAAAAATAAAATTAATGTGAGGGTTTAAATAGTATCTATTCTGGAAGTTGGACAAAAACCGCAAATTTTAAATTAAATCCCTTAAAAAAAACTTTTTTTATGAAGCTTCCGCGGCTAACTTTTTTGAATTCGTATCAATCATATCAAATAGCGTTGTAAAATCATAAGAAAAACGTTAAAAAAATATTCATAAAAAATCAATTTCCAAAGCAGCCTTAGAACTAAAAAAATCGATTATTTCGAGATCCCGTACTTTTATTACTTAATTATATATAGATTGTTCAACAGAAATACCTTCTCGAGATTTATTATTAAAACAAGTGAGAACTACTTATTTTGTCAAAAAAAAAAGTGAGAAATACTTATAGACAGGGTTTTAGAAATTATATATTATAAAGAGTAAATTCTTAAATCAAGTCCCTCGCCATTTCTTAATATTTTTTTATTTTTTATATCTTTTGAAATTATTGAAAAAAAAACTTAAGTAGAAAAATCTGCTGGTTGGAATAAACTTAAACAAAAATATTCCATGATAATTTTACATGAACCTAAATAATTAAGATGAATAGATATATTGCATGAAGAATACCCATCATGTAACTTCTACTTTAACCCAAATACTTTTAAACCATCAAAAATTTTACTCATCAGAGACTACGCTATGTTTCTACTTACATCTACTAATTTCAACAACTCCTCCGGTAAGGAAATTATTAGAAGATATGAAACTTTCCACATGAAAACAGTAAATATTCCAAACACCTATTCAGCAAAATCTCTCGAACTCGAATGATATTCAATGGCACTAATTAACACCGGCAGAAAGTATCAAAAGTACTAAAATATATTTAAATGTTAGAAACCACCACCACCTCAGAACTAAATTAAAATTTTAAAAAGACTCATACCACAGAATAGTGTGGTCTACACATAAATTTTATCCAATCGGCAAGCTAGAAAAACAATCTACTAACTTCATAATCGAGCATACTAACAAAAGGAAAACAAAAACATAATAGAATCCACTTCTCCAATTGGAAAAAAATTGCATAGTAGAGTTGAAAATAGGATAAATCCAATAAATACCAGCGGGAAACAGGATAGGCTACAGGAGAGCGACGAGCTGCTGCTTGTACGGGCTGCCAACACATCTTACAACTCTTCAGATATATAATGTCGTCCTATTCCTTCCATGGCAATAGAGCGAGGCTTCTTCTCAAGCACGCCTTCTAGATCCACTTACATCAACTTCTTCAGATCTAACAATGTAACAGCCGAAAATACAAACCAGTCCCACAAAACTAAAAATACAGGCACCGACTCTAGGAAAGCTTGCAGAATACATAATTCTAAAAATGTAACATTACTAGATAATTTGAAATATATATCAGAATACAAAATGTAACTCATTGCAATTCCTGGAAGGGGAGGGGAGGGTCGCGTCTATCAAAGAACTGACTTCGTTGTAACATATTTTCAGCAAAATAATAAAAAAAACAAGGAAATTGTACAGATCTTTGAAATTTACTTGAGCCTATTGGGGATGGGGGGATAGAACACCCTGATGTTTCTTCTTAATGTGCAAGTACACAGCGCAGCATCTTAATTATTGATCAGGCGTAATTGTATAGTTTGTATACGAGTAATTTTTATGTCGAACCATGTTTTCATTGAGAAAGAATTAAAGCTCAATGAAAGAATATAAATACGAATAAACTTAAATACGAATATAAATTATTACCATATGAATACCAACTATACCTTCGCAAACACTGTCGCATTTGATGACTCCTTATATTGCAAAAACTGCCATCGGAAAATCCCCACAAGTTTCAATTACATATGATTCGAGAAAAGTTTGGAAAATTTTGACCCATAGGATGGATGATAAAATATGTAGATACAAATTAAAAAATGTAATACTGATTTTTATAATAAGCATGCAGAGATTTAGTAGTGATGTTTCTTTTTTTTCTTGATTTAAACTTTAAAGGAAAAAATTGGCAGAGTACCTTTGCATGTCGCGGATATGATCATGTCAATAGCTATGATATGAGAAGCGATTCTGGCGGTTGCGGTAGCAGAAACGAACGGAGAGAAATAGAAAGCAAGAGAAAAACACACCAGCGAGAGGAGACCCCGGGCAATCCCCGTGCGATCTCCTCCCAAAACCAAAACATACTATTTTTTTTATTATGAATGACCTGCCATGCAAGCGCACCTGTCATGGCAAAGGCCGGATGACAAAGAGGTACCAGGATTGTTCCTCCTCGAAAAGAAGGCTGAATCCCGATATCTTATACATCCACAATCACTCATCTACCCTTCCCGATGCTTTCAATATTATGATACAAGTTACAGCTTCCATTGAATAACAGCAATCAGGCCTCCTGTAGCATACCGACGAACGGATCTACCAGGATTATCTCCATCTGCAGCAATCAACCACCTCATCGTTTCATGAAATAGCTTCCTCGATGGAGACGCCATACGCTTCTGCCTCCACGGAGATCCAACGCTGTCTCAAACTCCATACCTGCTCGAAGAGATCGAAACGCCTTTCGTTGCACAATAATAATCAAACAAATTACCGAGAACAAGAATCAAACCCTGACGCGTGATAGATCTGAAATCCCGCGATCGTCACGGATGAGAAAATCACCACACGAATCGCCTTCAGAACATAAAAATAGAAGAGAAGAATCAGATCTGATGTTGAACCTGCCAGAATCCGAATGAACAACCAAAATCCGTCGCGGTGGACCAGGCCGGCAAGAAACCACCATCATCGTGTAGATCTACGTGAGATCTATCGATCTACGGCCACCGTGCCGGCGACAGATAAGACGGCGTAGCCAGATCTGCAAAAAATAAACCAGAGAAATGGCGAGAAGAAGGGTTTGGAATGGAGGCAGATGGAAGAACGGATGAGGATCTTATCACTTATAAGGGGGGAGGGGATGAAATGAACGGCTAGGATTGAAGAGTGGTTGAAAAGATCGACGGATGATATTGAGTGACGTGGTTGAATTAATAATCGTTGAGGCGGTGGAAAAATAATCGCAAACGGATGGGTGGCAAGTTTCACAGCTAATTACGTTGTTGTCAAGCAAAGGAGGGATCAAATTTAACACGGCATTTAGAATAAAATATATATGCCTATATTATTTGACTATTTTAAAGATTTTTTATTAATTGTTTTCTAAAATCCCAAAAATTTTGAGAGTGCATTTAATAGGTTTCTAAAAGCTTTATTTAATGCATTCAAAAAGCTTTAATTTTGTGTTTCCTTATTTATTTAGACTTTTCTAGAAGCCAAATATCAAATTTGTGTTTGTCAAGACATTAACATTTTTAAATTTTGTGATAGATATGTAAATATTAAAAAATATCTAATAGATTAATGATTTATTAGACAAATCATTAAAACTGTATAACCTATTAATAAATCATTAAAACTGTATAACTTATCAATACTTTTAGAGTCTATAGACATATTAGATATCAAATTGACAATTTAAAATTTTGGTAGATGTTCTTAAGTTTGATGACCAATTAATTATAATTAAAAAAGCTTATAATTTAACTATAAAATTTCAGAGTGAGTTTCATTGAAGATGAAATTTTCAAATATATATTAACCAGCAAATATTGGTGCGTTTAATAGTTTAAAGAAATAAATATGCGAAATATATATTCGTTAAATCTATAATAATGTCTTCAATTGTCTCAAAATAATATATATATATATATATATATATATATATTTAAAATTGACGACGGGCCGTGGGCATTTGTCTATGGTTTTGCAGACGACTTCATTTGTCTATGATTAAGATTGAAAATAATGGAATATGTTAAAAACATGCTGGTGGGATTTTTTAAAACAAAATTTTAATATAATTCAAAATTTAAGGCAAGTTTTAGAAATATATCTAAAATATATTTTTGTATTTTCCTAATTGGATTATAATTGGACTTTGTGGGGCGTTTGATACGACATTTCAAAGAGTAGAAAATACTTTAAACTAATTACAATTTAGAAGTAATTTTTCAAAAGTTCTATGGTTTTTTATTTTGTGTTAAAGAGTGATTTCCATTTTATAATCCGATGAGTTTGGCAGTATTTTTAGAATAGAGAAAGGTTTTTCTATAAACTTGTAAATCTTTTATTTCTAACCATTGAACAGAGCATCATGATTGGGATTTACTAACCACGGTTTAGTATGTAACATAGCAAAAGAAACAACTTTATCCAACACTAAATATTTGCAATATCATTGTATTTAGAAAAAATAATTGTAAACTAGCATAGTTACCACTAAATATTTAACTTAATCTAAAATATTATTAATATGTAAGTTATAAATTTGTATAATTATTAATTTACTATGTTATATAATTTGTAATATATTACATCTTACCTGTTTTAATTTTTTTAAAAAATGCAACGGTTTATAACACCAAATAGCATGCATACCAAAGTTTTTATTATGAAAATAAATATTAACATAATAAATATGAAAACAATAAACATAATATAGATTGCATGTCAAATTAGACTTAAAATATTTGAAAACACGAATGAGTCTAAAACCAATGATGTCAAACTAATAAAAAATTTTAAAATGAAAGACAACAATTACAAATTAAATTACACATTTATTCATTCAACCCGACTTTTTACTCGACGCTTGACTCGTTTGAATAGAATTCATACATCATTTGTTTGGTCGAGGAGGGAGAAAGGACCTTTCATCACAATTTTGTGGAAAATAGTTAGGTATGAATATGTTAGATATCTATGACTCGATTAGTGAAATAATATTAAAAAAGCATGTTCTTTTTTACCCCACAATGAAAATATTTTACTGTGAACGAACAATATATTGAGAAATTGTTCATACGTAAAATCACATTGTTGGAGGTAATTTCTCACTAACAACGTGACAACCCTGATACGATAAGAATGATAAGTCTACATAGATCAGCACACTTACACACAAATACTCATTACCTCGAACTTTACTTAATAGGCCGAGTTGAATTGATTCCCAGTTTGGCCACCTTAACACCAGTCCAAATTGACCTTGTTTTTCGCACATCGACAACTTGGCCTACAGGCCAAGCCGATGTGACGACGCTTTGTCAGGATCGATTCTCTAACACATTCCTCGACAACGCATCATGATTCTCGAAACCCTAAAGAGCCATTGGAGGCTTATCGTACACCCTATCGAAAGTTCCACCCATAAATAGAGACCTTCTGCCTTATTCCCACAAAATTATATTATCTCTCGGATATAGCTCTGTTATTCAGAGACTTGGGCGTTTGAGTGTTTTCTCTTTTACAAGTCTCCACTTGCTAGAGTTCCAGGTCATATGTCAGATTCCACTCGAGCCAAGATTCATGGACTTGGACAAATTATTGATCAAACACGCATTTTAAGAAAACTCATCTAAGAATTAATTTAAGGGTACAAATTAGGTTAGTTTGAATAATTTTTGTTTGGGAAAAAAACAATTTTCGTCTCCTTCCAATATTAGAGTAGATGTCTCTTTGGTACATTAAGTTTCAAAATTCACATCTTTAGTTGCTGTAGTTTGAGAAACTATTTCAAATGGTTCTTGTGTTATTTTGACCGTTGGTTGATAGCGTGACAATTAAATTGAATGACGTGATGATTAACTTGGTGACTGTAATTCTTGATTTGGTAAAATATATTAATTTGTTATTATTTTGCAATAAATGTATTTCCCTCTTATCTTTTTATTTATTTCATCCTCATTCTCTCTCTTTTAGGACAATGTCTACACCATCGGTCATCTATCCTCACCTGCCGCCTACCCTCACTATCGCCATGGTGCCCTCGCCCTTCCCTTCGAGGTTGCACCCTCCCATCGAAGAGAAACCATCATCCAAACATGAATAAGATCAGGAACAAGGACTTCCTCAATCTATCCAGAAGATTTGGCTATATGCAAGATAAGAGACAAATACCTAAAATGGTTGGTGAAGACGCATGGGAGTTTGCTTCATATATGATGAGGAGTTCATAACCTTTCTCCTGGACAACAAAAAATTTTGATCTAGCTCTAAAAATTGTTAATAGAGTTTCACTACTATAATTTCATGATGAAGGTTAGAGAAGAGAGGAAGATCATAGCGAAAGAGAGAGAAAATAAAAATCACCATAAAAATATTATTAAATCATTATATTTGCTAAATCAATAAATATGGTCGGGAACTTAATCAGGTTAATTAATTAATGATCAAAAACAATTTCTTAAACTCTATGAATTAAAAGTGTCAATTTTGAATATTAAAAAACCAAATAGACACTTTTTGAAGGAAAAAAAAACTTCCACTCCAAACTTTACATATTAAAATTGTATTTTACATTTTTTTAGTAAGTTTAAAAATAATATTTTAAATGGGTCGATAAAAACCCAAACTCAAATGAATTTATTTAGCTAAAGCCCGCAAATCTGGACCATGATTTGAACGTTTTCAAATATATATTATTAGGAACTTATATTAGTTAAAATGACAATCTTGCTCTCTTTAAAAATTTCTCCATCTTTCTCAGCTTTTTTGAAACCCTCGATCGACCACTCCAACTCCAATTCCAATCGCACTCCCCCGTCCCTACCCGACAGCGACGGCTATTCAGGCGACTCCCACGGCGAACTGAAGCGACAGCGGGGAAGGTGGTGACGGCGGCGAATTGTGAGGCGACGGTAGGAATACTGCTTCATTTGAAGCCATTGGAATATCTCATTGCTATAGAATGACTTTGAACTTGGGTTTTGCATTTGAAATTCCCGAATCCGGCCAAGAGTCATCGGAGCTCCCCGCCAGCCACCGTTCTCCTGAATCCCAGACCCGACGGTAGGAATTTTCTGACAAACGAAGCACATACGAGAAGAATCACCGGGATAATCGGCTCCGTTTGGTTTTCTGAGTAACAAAATCAGTATGTTTGGGACTGGTAATAAGGTTTTTCGCGACGAAGCCAAAGCCGAAGATGAAGCCAATAGAGCTAAAAACTCCACCGGAACAAACACAGACGATCACTAGAGTCATCTTCGACATTGTTAGGGAGCATGGTCCGCTAACCATAGCCGAAACTTGGGACCGCATTCAGGTAAGCTTTCGTAACAAGCCATTCCTGTTTCTATTCCGCTGTTTTCATGTTTTGCTTCAAAATTATTCCGTTTTCTTCAACTTATTACCACGAATGGTAGAAATTTCTGATTAAATATGAATTAGATTGATATAGAATGATGGAATTCTGCTAGATACTTTGATCATTTCTGTCGGGGTTTGGATCTGACTGGAGAATAGTTGGGAATGAGGACTCTGATTTGCATTCTCGTTGAATTGTTGCATTTTCATCCTAGGTAAAATGTTGTCTCTTTCCAGCATTTTTGGCTTCGAAATTGTGGAAAAATAACGTTACGTTTACTAAATCCTAAATTCTTTAAAGAGGATACTTGCTATAGATGATGTGCTCAGATGTATCGAGTTGCTTAAATCCCAGTGAAATGATCACCACTTTTTTTTAACGCCCATTAACAATTAGGAAGATCGGATCCGGACCTTGGGGCAGGCGCAGGTGCCCCTAAGTATAGGAGAGAAAAGCTTCGATTCTCCGTTACAAGGGATCAATGAGAATGCTTTTAACTAGAATGGGGCATGCCACAGTTCTGGATTCTTCTTGGTCTGTAACTTGCTCTTGGTGCTGTTTTGTTAGAAAAAAGTTCTGTAGGTAATGGGCGTTGTAATAAGCTGATGTGATTAGTGCCTATTACTTGCCAGGAAGTTGGTTTGAGAGGATTAACAAGCAAAAGGCACATGAAAATAGTAATGAGATGGATGAAGGAACGGTAGAAGTTAAGATTAATGTGCAAGCACACAGGACCTTATAAGCAGTTTCTATATACTACCTGGTTCACGAAACCCAACTTCGGGCAGGCAAAGCCACAGGGGCATAATTCTTCTTCTTCCCAATCGAAAAGCCCTTGAATGCCTATAGATTACTTGTATAAAAATCTTAAACTGCGTTGTTTCTTTCTTTAAGTTGTACTTTGATTACTCCATAACTGATATGTAAAATGAATGACCATTATGGACAAGGATTTAAGTGCTGACCCTTTCTTTGTTTAGTGTCTACTCCTTTATCTTAAAACCATGTTTAGATAGTAGATGGTAGCAATTAGACTATCGCTAAAACCTTGATGTTGAAACTTGTTGTCTATTTCCTGTCGACTTATAGACAGAAAAGGCAATATTTGTGTGTTATGCTTCGTTGATGAAGCAATTCTGATGCTCAAGTTAGTTAGTGTGCAGATGTTAAAAGAGCTCTTATGTTAGAAGCACTGATGTGAGCCTAAAGAGCTTCGATTTTTAAGTAAGCAATCTTACTATAGTCTAGAAGGGTTGTAGCGAAGCCGATAACAAATAACAATTAGATTATTTGTGTAGGATATGTTGAGAGATTGGTTGTTCCTTGTATAATGGTTGGCCAGAATTGTCCATGTTGTATGCGGTTTCGGCTTTTATCAAAATTAATTATTTGTTTTTTAACTTTCCAAATCTCAATCTTCTTAAGCCAAATCACAATTATGGCATGTCCTCTCTCCCCGATTCCTATCCTCGAAATCAAGAAAAAACAAGTCAAAGACCCAAAATTTTATTCACTGTTGTGTTAAACGAGATTCAAGAGGAGGAAACATCTGATACATTCTAAATTCCAATAGGGAAAAATGGGGAGTGGGCCAGTGGCATAACAATTCTCCCCGCGGTGAATTGGGTTGGTTGCCTCATGAGACCAGTTGAGGTTCCAAACTGACCGGACGGATATAAGAAAAATATATAAATATAGTCTATCTCATCTTAAGACCCTGCATTGGTTTGATGTCGGGCTTTCTCCTTCTCCTTCACTTCACTCCCTTGACTCTTATCATACCCTTCCAAAATTTTATGAAAAAGAAGTTAGAGACAGAAACAGAAGCAGAGATTACAGAAAGAGAAATCGAAAACAAAATATGTTAGAGATGAGAGACCAGGCTGATTGATATCTTGATTAATCCGATCGCCATCAGTGTTGCGAAACGACTGGTTCTGATCACTGTAGACTCCGCCAAATCCTTCTTCGTCCGACCGCGTCGCATATCCTTCTCCAAACGAATGCGACATCACGTCCCTGCTTAATTCCAAAAATTGTCCCTAATTATTGTTAATAAATTATAATCAAACGATATCACCAACCAACGAATCGCATACCCTGATTTCTCGTTCGGGTTCTGAGTCTTCTTCTCCATGTTCGTTGCGGTGGGCGCCTGCCGGAATCTGACGGCCGGAAAAGCTCTGAAGCCTACCGGAGATGGCAGAAAGAAACTTTAAGAATGACAAGAGTGAATGAGTTCTATTCTATCCGGCCCGATTGCTTGGACTGTTTTTGCGTATCTCTGTTCTTCCTGTTTCTGCATTTTATATGTCAAAATTTTCGGTGGAATTTTGCATCCCGGAATGGGCGTCGCCGATGTCCGGTTCAATGGGCTTGGATTTTGATCCTGGTTTCTTGGGAAGAACACATGACACGTGGCTGCGCAGATGACATGTGTTTAAACTGATAAATTTACTTTATAATTAGAAAACCTCACTTTAGTTCTATTTAAACTCCGAAATTAATTTATCTTGATCCATATACTTTTAAATAATTAAAAAACATGATCTAATTAACGGGCCAAACATGGGCATGGGCTTCAGAGTTATTATGTATATTGAATCATAATCATTCCATCTTTCATAAAACTCATTAGAAAGTTTCACTTTAATATCTACAGTAAAAAAATAAAAATATCCACGAAATATAAACAAATGTCGATAAAATATATAGACATTCTCAGTGAAACAGAAACCTTGATATTTTCATCAATATAAATATTAAATATCTTTTAGTGTCACTTCAACGAACTCTATACTTAAAATTTTAGCAAAATAAAGGAGAGATAATTTGGGAAGATGAGTGATGAAAAGTCACCGATTCTTTTAGGTCATTTATTCATACCTTCAATGGACGACAGAAATGATATTTGATGGAAAAAGAATTTCCTAAAGGAGAATTTCTAAATAAGTCACTGTAATAATTCCCATATTCTGTGGGTGCTTTTTTCCATCTTTTGAAAATTCTCATTTTATTATGTATTAATTATTTGTAAACTTATTTAAAAGACCATTCTTAAAACCACATTTGAAAATATGAATTGAGTGACCAAATTGAGCTAACTCAACGCGGATTAAAACTTAGTGGTTCGAACTCCTACCTCCGTACTAAAAAAAGAGGTCGAAAAAATTTTAAATTATTGTATATTAATTTTTGAATTTTTTTTTTCGGATTTGAATGTTCGATTTAAAGAAAATGTTCATTGAACCAGGGCGACCAGACTTTTTTTTTTTTTTTTGAACAGACAACTACATTTTAAGTATAGTAGAGATTTAGAGACCATTTTAAGTAAATAGTTTCTTAAAAAGACAATTTATCTATGTACACTTGTATAGTCCATTAGGGAGATAATTTTGAATAAAATAATTTTTTTTTTTTTTTAAGAAGAGTCACCGGATTGCAAATTATACGATCGTTCAAGTGATATATTTTCCAACCATTTAGTGTTTGAAAGCCTAGAAATTGTTGTTCTAGGGGCTCAAGCATGAGCACTCCATCACTTTGCCTTCTCAATCTATGTTTGAATATCCTTTGGCCAACGTAAGGAAGGTAATTCACATGTCTTTTGTTCAAGTCATTCAATAGATTCAAGCAATCAGATTCAATCCACAAATTCATGCAATTTAGACCTCTAATGAAATTTAGCGCCGGTATCACTCAGGAGCCAAAGGGTCGAAGTTTCGATAATCGACCATCGAAGAAGCACCTATTATTCTTCTTTTATCATAGCAAATGACAAAATTCAAACCAATCCTTCCAAAATGTTTATTCTTTCATCATGGAAGAGTTCATGAAACAAAGAATGACAATAATCTCTTAAATATTGTTTGTGCATACTTCAATTGTGATCTTATCAAAGGTATATCTTTATGCCTAAGATCTATGACAAAACTTTTTCGAGCATAGCGTGTGATCTAAAAGATAACGATTTAATCATTACATCGTGAATTGAACCTGAAATTTACTCCTTGCAAAGAAATTGCTTCTCTAGGTTAGACCATCTCTCATAAAATTAAGATATGATTTACTTCCAAATCCTATGGACCAAAATTATTGTTATTCTAAAAAAGATAGAATGAAAAGTTAGGAGCCAATAAGTAGTCCATAGGTACAATATGGTGTCTATTTTATATTACATTAAAAAAATACAGGAATCCACCTAATATTTATAATGAAATAAAAATAACTCATAAAAAAAATATAAAAAGTAAAGACCAAAGTTCTTGGCACCTAGTACTCAAAAAAAAAAAAAAAAAAGTTCTTGGCACCTACCTATTTTCTTTTTGGAATAATTAATTTAGATTATTAAATTTACATATAAATTTATAACAGAGAGAGAGAGGAGGAAGAAGAAGGGAATTACAAAAATAAGAACCAAATCTTAAACCCAAAAACGGGTTTCTCAAGAGGTTGGCAATGGCGCCCACTGAACAATCCTTCTGATCGCGACAAATTATGGTTTGAAATCAAGGATTAAAGAGCCATTGTTTTCTTTTTTCAGATTTTGAACAGGAGAGAGCTTTTGACTATGTCTGTCAATGGCGTCATCGATATTGCAATTTGAAATTTGTTCCGCTTCGGTTTTCAGTTCCATACCATACCAGTGAAAAAGACCTGGTTGATCGAAACTGATTATCCCCAAGGAAAAGAAAATTAATGAAAGGAAAGAAACCGATCCATCAACAATGCCAAGAAGATACAGTTAAGAGAGGAACGTCGTTCCATGCCAGAGACAGAAACTCCGGCGCCGATTCGATTAGAGTGTAGAGGGAGCTGTAATTGTAGTTCCAGAGAAGTATTTTCGCCTGACTAATGGCGTAATGGCTGAGCGCTACGGATTCGAAACCGGAGCTTTCCATCAGGTTCTTCCACTGTTCTTTGTCTTCCATACGTACTCTTCTTTTGCTTCCAGATTCTTCTTCGGTTCCAACCACGCCGGCGATTCGACGGCCGAGCAACAGTTTCTCTAACTGGAGTCTTTCCGGCGAGTCTCGAGGTAAGTTTGGATCTAGCGATTCGAAAATGGCGGAGTAGAATTTCAATGCGTTCTTGAAGCGATTGTAGAATCCGATTCGGTTTAAACTCGCCTCGTACTCGCCGAGAGTCACTATTTTAGGGCTCAGCGATTTCGCCAATCGGAGGGCGTTATGAACTCCAGTCGGGACCTCATCGAGAAGATTGTACAGTTGAAGCATGAAATTGACGGTCAATACCTCGTCCGATTGGATGATGAAGCTCGATTTGTTCAGCTCCTCAATCGGCGTTAGAATCGGTTCGAACTCGAAATTCAGTTCCAGAAGCTTCGCGAACTCGGAAAGTCTATTACCAGTCGCATACAGAGACGCCGCCGGTGAATCTCCAAGCGACGGCGCGGGTATTCCGGAGATACGAACTCTGGTAGGCTTTCCGGCGGCTCGTGTGGCCAAAGCCTGGAGGAGCGCCGCCCATTGAACGCCCTGAACGATTCCGAAGTCGACAATGTGAATTTTACTCGCTCTCTCTGTAGCTTCCAGTATCGCCTGATTCGCCGTGAGATGGGCGAATTTGGAGTAAGGACAAGCGTCGTTCAGAGCTTTGTAAGAGAGCAAGAAATCTTCGGAATTAGCGTCGCTCTCACTCGAATCCAAGCGATTCTTCCTCGCCGTCGGGGACAATCTGCTCCGAAGAGCCTCCTCGAAGTAAAACGCCAATCGTTCAATCGGATCTCCATCTTCCCGCAGCGATTTACTGATCCGATCAAGAGTTTTCACGGCTCGGTCGGGTTCGGAATCGGACAGCCGCGCACAATCAAGCAAGACTTTTAGAAGCGGCGGCGGCGACTCGGTTTCCGCCGCACTCGATGAGCCTTCGACGGCATCGTTCTTCTGCAGCCACTCCGCCGGCGGCTTGACTACTCCAACATCCTTAACCGCCGGTGGAGAAGACGGCGGCGGAGGCGAACTCCACGCCGGGCGCTGCGGCTGCGGAACGCTACTCGTCTTGTACGAAGAATCCGGGAGCACAACTCGGTTGAACTCGGACGGCGGAGAGCAAGCGACACTGAGTCGACTCGGAGAGCCATTAAATGGATCCGCACCATACACACCAAAAGCGTCGCAAGCAGAGGGCAGATTGGAGCTATCCGTGGAGTCTCCGCCGCCGACCAAACTGTCCACCCAGTCATCGGAGTCGAACTCTCCGCCGCCGCCAAAATTAGGGAAGAACCTAAACCCGGCGGAGGGGTGGTCCAAATTGGGGAAGTGAAAAGCCGGGTCGGCAGAATCCGGCGGTCCGGCGACCTGAAAGGGGTCAGAGAAGGCAGAGCCAGAAATCCCGAAGGTCAAATTAGGAGCAGAGGAAGAAGAAGCCATTGATGGGGATGGATTACTGGTCCAAGGAAGAAGAGAAAAGGGGTGCTGCTGCTGTTGATGGCGATTGTGCTGGTGCTGATGGTGCTGCTGCTGCTCCTGCTGTTGCTTTTGCTTGATGACTTGCTGGGCAATTGCCATTAGATTCCCACTGTCTGCGCACATATACGCCATTAATCTGTTAGAGAAAAAACTTGCTCCAAAATCCAAATGGAAAGCTGCGAGTCACATTACCGGAAGAAGAAAGATGAGGAGAGAGGGGAGAGGAAGTGGGAAAAAATGGGGAAGCAAAGACACAGTCGGGACAAAGAGAGGAAGTAAATGGGCTAACAAAAGCAGAGGCTGTGGACCAGAGAGACACACAGCACAAGCCAAAGCCAAACAAACTAAGCGAAAACTGCACTGCACTCTCGTTGAGAGGGAGGGAGGGAGGGAGGGAGAGCTTCGAACGGTAGAAATAAATTTAGGCCCAGAAGGCGCCGAGGGCCCCACTTTCCCCATTCAGAACAAATTTTTAAGAGGAGACACAGACACAGTGAGAAAAGAGATTTTGGGTCCTTTCTCTTTAAACTCCTATTTCAAATTTCTTTTTTCGAGAAAAAGAAAAAATGCAAAAACAAACCTAAACTAGGGTCGTTATAACTTAAACATAGTTTTAATTAGTCAAGTCATCTATCTCTTACCATAACATCCGGTTGGGTTTGAATCACTATATTTACAATAATTATAAGATTTTTTTTGGGTGAAACCAAAATCAAAGTCGTGAGCTCTATCACCAAAATGGAGAACCCCGAGGAAATTTGGTTGACAATTTTGCAAACCAACTATTGGTTTTTTTTTTTTTTTTCAAACTCATCTAACTGCATGTTTAGAGAAAACTTCAAAATTTGTCAGGGTACCTCTCATATTTAACCATATCGGACTTAATGGTGCTTTTAAAGTATATTTCAATATATTAATCTTGGATTTAGTAGGTTTTAGGAAAATTATAATTAAGATCTAGCCATTTAAAAAAGCAAGCTACCGTTCAAGCTTGTAGATTTTTTCAGTGGAATCCAAGTCTTGACAACTTTCTTTACCAACATGAGTTAAACTTAGAAAACCGATCCACCTTAATTAAAGTTTGCCTCTTAATTTTTTTTAATTAACACGTCTAATACAAAGGAAAAAAGGGTAATGAAAGAAACAAAAGACGAGGTTAGATTAGAAGAATTAGAACAAATATCTTTTATTTAAGATAATGAAAAAAAATGAAGGTCCTATCTCTCTCAGGCAAGCTGTGTGTGCGGCTGCGTTACGTGGCTGTGATGTGACGGTGGGCCCTGATTGGCCCGATATGACAACACCAACTCATGAACGTCCACATACCACTTTTTTCACTTTCTTTTTCTCTTTCTTTTTATTATTATCCTTTTTTTTTCCCTTAACTTTCTTTTTCCCTCTCATCTTGGTGGGATCCCTGATGCTGACCTAAGAGCCCCGACCCCACCTCTTTGCCTCATTTACGACACGTCGATTTAGGGCGGAAATGGTGTCAACTTCTTCTTGATGTCGACTTTCTCTTCTTTCTCACTCGCTAAACGACGCTAAATCTTCACCATTCACTTGCAATCTCTCTATTTATGTTACATGACATGAGAGTAAATAAAACAACCAACCCCAAGACCAAGACGAAAGCTAATCAATTGAATTCAACTATTTAATGCATTAACAACTCTTATTATGTATCGTAGTAACCCTTTGATGTCAATCTTATCTCTCTCACTAAACAACTCTTGGTCTAATGACATGAGATTTGACTCTTTTTGAGTCGCCATGACTTTTGACGTTGACTTATCTCCTTTCTCTCATTAATAATACATTAAATTCTACACGACACAATAGATTAAAAAAAAGGAAAAATCAGCTAACTAATCTTGAGCATAACTCAACTGATCATTATACTAACAACTCCTTTTACGCGTTATAGATTCGAATTTCAGTCCTCTAGTTTGAATGATAGAAAGATTGAGTTGTAAAAAGGGGGCAAGAAAAAGAAGAGAAGAGAAGGGGAAGAAATGGTTGTAAAGTTGAAAATAACTTCTTTTTTTTTTTTTGGGTTGATGGGGTACTTTTTGGGCGGTAAGTGGGCCCAATTGGGCCTGAAATGGGCCCTGGGAGGATGGGAAAAGGGGGTATTGGGTGGGGCCCACAGGAGTGATAATCGACCAACCGAAATGGGACAGCTCGAAAAAGCAACGGTGGAGAGACTGAGAGGCACTCACTCTCACTCCGCAGTCGCACTTTGAAGGGACCAAAATTAAAAGGGAACTCTAAATCCACGTTGGCACTTTTTCCAAAAACAAAACTATTTATTTCCATTTTCCAGTGCAGCTCCCACTCACCCGAGTCAACTCACTCCCAATTTCCTTTTTTCTTTTCTTTCCTTAATGTAAAAAGAAAAAAAACTAACTCCGTTTTTGTTATAATTGTATTCTCAAACTTTAAAATTTGAATATGTTATGAAGTTATAGGAGTTTAACGACTTTTTTAATTCAACAACATAGATGGAGATTTAAACACATATTATTTAGGATAAATATTTAATATATTTTAAGTTTTAACTTGTTGAGTCAAGTTTCTCTTAGTGTGAATTTGACTTTATTAGTGGACTTCTATTTGACTCTGTTTGTTTCACATGTTTTGAGATGGATATGCCAAACCAATTTTTATTGACGTTCTCATATTTTTTTTCCTAGAAAATGTAGGTAATTATTATCCAGAGGAAAAAATATTTCATAAACATACTATGAGATTTTTATTATGAGACTGTTATTCTTTGGAAATGAACAGCAGAGAGGAGAGATAAATATATTCGTTAATTTTTTTTTAGTTCAACAAGTGAGGATTGTGATTCACCGACATATCTAAACACATACATTTAACTCCAAGAGAATTACTATAAATACCATCAAACAATATCCACGATCCAAACAGGGACTAGCGATTTAGGCTTTTAGTGGGGATTTGAACCCACAACTACTTGTTACGTCTAATTGCAACAATTGTACATTTGAGGTATAATTACACTACAACAACCACATCGTTTAAGAGTGATTTAGGATTTGAGATTTAGAGTTTAATTATAGTAGTTATTATAATCTAAGGATAGTGGTACGTTTTTCAAGTTGCAACTACCTAAATTTTAACGTCAAAGCTAATTGCTCAAATTACAATTGTAGTATATATTTTTAGTTGCTCAAATTACAATTACAATTATAATTTTCCTTTTTCCTTTTTCCTTTTTAAATACTTAACACCTTGTTTGGCTGCTCCATTTTGCCTGCCCAATTCAAGATCTCCTACACTTAGTGCTACACACAATATCTATATGAAGGCTTCAAAATCCCAGGAGGGAAAAAAGGTCCAATTGCTTGTAATAATTGTTTGCTTAATAATTGAGTTTGGAGAGATGGGATTTCAATCAAAGCCTTAATTAATCGCTCAATAATATTAGAAATATTGGTAAATGTGAAGAGGGCTTTGGAGATTTTACGAGAGAAAAAAAAGGAGTGGTTTGGTCTAATAGGGAAATTTTAAAATGTAAAATCGCGAAAAAAAAGGATAGAGATTAGACAAGAAATCAAAGCAATCAATTCAAGGACGATCTTTCCTTTGTTATTAAATTTGGGAAGGCCCTACTTGATGCACATATCTAAAGAAACTTTTTCTCCATTTCTCTTTTCACACTTGCTTTTTTCTTCTTTTTACTCTCAACATTCAAACTTTTGGTTCCTAATCACCCTTCCATGCTAGGCTAGCCCGACTAAGAATTAGTGTGTTCATGTTTCAGTTCGATTTGATTAATTTGACCGAATAAAGAATTGAATTGTTGCGATCTAAATTCTATTTTTTAATTTCAATTGTATGTTATTCTAAGTGACGAGAAAAACATGTTAAAAAACTAAGCCTGCCATTAGTTTTTGACCTTAGAGATTGGCTAATGTGCAAAGGCAAATGTGAACTAGAAAACCGATATTCAAGTATGGTCAAATTTTGAGATGAACCAAATTGAAAAGATCAATCAACATTGACGACTCAATTTCATACTATTATAAAGCTAGAAATATTTTTGTTAACTCAATATATCATATGATTATTTGTCGATTAATATTCAATTCATTCATTAGATCATTTGTCAATTCAATTTCAATTCATCCAATAAATCACTTGTCAATCCAATCAATTTTCGAACTTTCAATTTTCGGGAAAATTGATCTTTTAATTCCCCCCTAACTGATATGTCGGCCTACATCAATTTTTACCAAAATCAAGTCGAAGCTTAGTTAGTTCCTGACTAGTCTAAGTTCATCGATTTATTGGCATACCCAACAAAGATAATCCACAGAACTTGAGATATTATAACCAACTGGGGCATTACCATATCAAATCCATAACGATACAAACAAAATTTAGAGTGCTTATGACATGAAGCACTCGACTTGTGGTTCAAATAAATATCTACAAATGATCTCAATGAATGGTTCAGATTAAGCTATAAGCATTAATGTTGAAAGGGATTTATATTTCAGGTCAAATCTTCAATAGTAATGCTATAGGAGAAGCAGCAACGATTACTTTGTTGGAATTTAGTACTAAAATATAAGCCAAGTGGGAGAAACTGTCACTACACAAGATCAAATACACCACTCAAGCCTTTTTTCCTTTTAAATTCACCAATTCAATCAAATGAAAGTTTTTCCCATCATTGTAGCAGAAGAAGAAAAAAATGATAGAACAAGACACCCCAACTTGGCAGATATGATAAATCCAACTTTAATCAGAAACAGTGGTGCTGAAAACAATTGGTGTGTTTGACATTTTTGTCGAGGTACTACTTGTGACTAGGAACGATGATTTGGGGCTCGGATCGATTGATACTTCCAAACCAACTGAGATCTCGTTGGTATATTTGGAGCTATGCAGTCACCATTTTATGAAAAAGCTGAAGAATCAACTAGACGTGGAGAAACTCAGAGAAGTTCACACCCAAACAATTTATTGAGTATAAAAATGTGAAATCTCCTACTTGAATATGATGCGTGTTTGTAGCTCATAAAAGCCACCATGTTTCAAAATCAGTGATATCATGTGGTAGGCCATGCCAAACAAGAAAACAGAAAAAGCTAAAAAGCAGGGCATCTTTGGCCTGCAGATCGGATTTGTGCTTGAGCTCAAGTGGATAATTTACTTGTAAGCATAAAAACGACCTGCCTAAATTGCAGATACTACCAAACATAAGATAAATGTCCACATGGCTTACCTACAGTGATTTATTGCAGTCTTCTTCCATCTATTATTGTAAAATAAACCACCAGAATCATTGATGATGAGATCCTCAGTATACACGAGCCTTGGGAGGGAATGATTCGACCTCGTCGTCCAATGTGTTCATGTGTACTGGCCTATAGTCCAATCTGACCTTCTCATTCTCCCAGAATCTGCAAATTTGATAAATTATCAAACATACAGCGAATGTTAGTTGATGGCAAACTAGTAGAAGTAAAGATTTATTTCAGTTAATCCAGTTGAGATAAGAAGCGTTTTAATAACTAAAAATGGGATAATCTTATTCTTATGAAGTGCTAGACATGAGAGTTACCCCAATGTGTGCTTCATCCAGTTCTCATCGTCTCTTTTCTGCATAACCAGAGTATGCAAAGTTAAGACATCGAAGTTAATAGGAAACTGTTATAGTTAATATAAAGAAATAAAACTAACTGTAAAATCTTCACGAGCATGTGCTCCTCTGCTCTCCTTCCTGGCTTCAGCAGAATGCATGGTAATACAGGCATTTATCAAAAGATTTTCCAATTCAATTGTCTCTACCAAATCAGAGTTCCTGTTCGACAAATAAAGACCTTAAATCACTCCTTCAGAGAATTCAGTATTCAACTTCAAAGTAAAATAATAGTTAAAAGAAGGAAAAACACCATGATGTTATACCATATTAAATTCCTGTCTTTGACCTTCACGTCATGAAAACTCTCCCATGCCTTGTCAATTAATTTACAGCCTACAGAAGCAGAAGACAGTTAAAAAAGTGAAGAATTTGTGGCAGAGTTCCAGGCAGTATAGAACATGTAAACTAAATCTCTCTCTTTTCAGTTTGGCTACCTTCCTCCAATGTCTCCTGTGTACGGAAAACAGCAGCATTGGTTTGCATAACTCGTTGCATGTTTAACCTAATCTTTGAGGTGGGAAGTGAGCCATTTGAGTTCCTTAATTTGTCTAGCCATGCAATTGTCTTCTCACCAGCATCTTTTTCCAAAGGCTTCTGGCTTGCACCTGCAGATTACCCAGATGTTATAATTTAACGTTATTGAATTCTTTTTCTTATAATTTAACGTTATTGGTGGGATTAGGGTGGGGGTTCATCATTCAATTTCCAGTCAAAAGAAATTAAGAATCTTGCCTGGTCTACCGATCTCTGCTACCCTATTTGCACAAGCTCGTCCAAATACAACAATGTCCAAGAGCGAATTTGCACCAAGCCTATTGGCACCATGAACCGAGGCACAAGCTGCCTCCCCAGCAGCCATCAATCCTGGAACTACAGCATCCGGATCATTGCCCTTGATTGTAACTACCTGATTAACAACAAAACTACACATGAAGATAGAGCAGGAAGAAAAAAAGAGCACATTCAGAATTCTACAGAGCCATCAGAGGGGGGCCCTTCCTGAACTATTTTTTTTTCTTTTTCTTTCAACTACCAATTCAAGAATTTTCACTCATCAAGTATTTAGTATTTCTAAATGACTCATTCATCAAGAGCAATTCTTAGTAGTCTTCTCTGCATACACTGTTTAGTCTAAAACTAACAGTAACACACTGGTTAGAGCTAGCTGTAATTATTTAATAGATCGCTTGAATTCTGTAATATCTAGGGTTTAGGGTTACATTTTCATGCATACCTCCCCATGATGATTCGTGGGAACTCCACCCATATTATAATGCACAGTAGGTAAGACTGGAATGGGCTCTTTGGTAACATCAACACCAGCAAAAATGGCAGCAGTTTCAGAGATACCAGGAAGTCTCTCCTTCAGTACATCTGGGGGTAAGTGATTCAAGTGGAGATAGATGTGGTCCTTCAGGGGTCCTGTTAAGAGCTATCAATTCAGTAACCAATACTAAAAAAGATGAGACCGAGAGTTAAAACATTAGTGTCCAATGGAACACTTGCACGGATATAAAAAGAATTTCATATGTATATTCTCCTGCTGCAATATTTTTCTGCTCTCACAAACAGTAGGTAGCTTCCAATTTAAATCAGGAAAAAGAACCACATATATATATATATATATATTTCTCCAGAACAGTATTCCTTTGTTCTGATGAGAAACTATATGGATGGATTTATTTAATTCCAGATGGGCAAAGAGCTTCATACCTACACCACGACCCTCCCGAATTTCCATAGTCATGGATCTTGAGACAACGTCCCTTGATGCAAGATCCTTTGCTGTTGGGGCATACCGTTCCATAAAGCGCTCACCTTCACTGTTCCTAAGAATGCCACCTTCACCACGAGATCCTAAATTTTACAGAATAAAAGAATTGCACTTAAAATTAATATCAAGTCCACATAGAGAGCGAGAGAGAATAACAAACAATAAAGTTTATTATTTAAACTTGTGGGGTTCAGACCTTCAGTAATAAGGCACCCAGCACCATAAATTCCCGTTGGATGAAACTGCACAAACTCCAAATCCTGGGCGAGCAAGTGAAAGAAGAGTTAAAAAAAAGGATTGAAAAACTATCAGAAACCTTCCACTGTTCCACAATATCAGAAAAGAAGAAAAGAAACCTCAAGTGGAAGCCCAGCACGTGCAACCATGGCATTTCCATCTCCAGTGCATGTATGAGCAGAGGTTGCAGAGAAATATGCTCTGCCATAACCCTTCAGAGAGCATTAGAGATGGAGTTAAATTTACATAATTAATCAGTTCATGCAAACGTGATAATAATCATCATGGCATGCAGTACCCCTGTAGCCAATATGGTTGATGCAGCACGGAACCGATGTAGTGTACCATCCTCCATATTTAATGCTATCACTCCCTGGCAGCTACCTGGAATACCAATATCACAATAGTAACCAATCTAACCATAATCTAAAATGGATCTGATATTCAGAGAGAACCTATGAATCATATGGTGAGGAAAAACAGAGTGCATCAAATCCTATTGACCTAATTCATGGGTAAATACTTCTTACTCCAACCATCAAACAATGAGTGGAAAGCTAATCATATTTCGTCAAGTTCAAGAAAAGTGGAGTTTATATACCATCACTGTTCATTAATAGATCCAAAGCAAAATATTCCACAAAAAATTGTGTGTTATGCTTCATAGCCTGGCCATAGAGAGTATGCAATAAGGCATGCCCTGTTCGGTCAGCAGCACATGCACAGCGATATGCTTGTCCACCTACAAAGACGACAACATTAAAAGTAATTCATTGAAGACAAGAAAGCCTCAATGTTAAAAGGAGAGAACAACATGCCAGCGAAAACATATCATATGAATAGTTACCCTTTCCAAAGTCAAGGCTCTGACCACCAAATGCACGTTGATATATTTTTCCATCTTCGGTACGAGAGAATGGAAGTCCATAATTCTCAAGCTCAATCACTGCTTTGGGTGCTTCCCTACACATGTATTGAATGGCATCCTGATCACCTATAGTACAGAAAACCCAAATAGGTCAACGATTTGAATGCACAAATATTGTGACAGTGTAAAATTTCAATATAAAATAGATATTTGTTTTGTGCCCCTACAAGTCCTGAATCATTTAGGAACATCAAATATGCACAACTTAAGGAGCACCATATATGCAAATCTTGTTACTAGCTTTGTATTGGAAGACTAAAAGGCCACAAGACTTTCTGATTTGTTTTTGTGTGTTTGTTTCTAATGATAACGTCAGCATCACATTGCATGAAAACATTTTCGATTCATCAAAAATTCTAAATATATACCTAACCAATCACTCCCCTTGACAGTGTCATACATGTGCCACCTCCAATCATCCTCAGTCATGTTTCCCAGTGCAGCATTTATACCTCCCTATAAACCAATCCAACCTCACATTAATATATGTAACATGTCCAAGTCAAATAATATTTAATTCACATAATGACAGAAGAAAGCAAACATGTGAATATTATCGACATGCATACGTCAACAGAAAAGAAAAAAATGTATGAAAATGAAGATAAATAAAAACACAGTAGCCAATGCTGATGATGTGGACCGGTAGATATCAGGTTTATGAAAGCCTGTAATGTATGATGTGTAAAAACAGCCGCTTGTGCATAATAAATACTTAGCGCTTAATTTGATGATGAACAAGAAAAGATTCTAAAAGCCCCCTCAGTGGGAAATGAAATAAAGAATTCATTTTCCTCTTCTTCGTTATCATTATCATTTTCCTCTTTCTTGGGGAAAAGAAATTTGTAAAAGCTCAAGAATTCTCCTTCAATATCTGAATAGGGAGAACTTTTCCTTCACTAGAGCAAATCTTGAGAATTTAGTTTTTTGTCCTCCTTAAGAAGTTGAGTTTTTTGTCCTCCTCAAGGCAGCAGAGTAACGAGTATTTTCCCATCCCTTTTAAAAGCCAATTGGATTTGCATTTTTGGCACCAAAAAATTTTCCTCAGGTGAGATGGAAATCAGATGTTCTTTTATGGAAGTTCCAGCTGACCTTTGTACTGTTCAAAGATGAAATAAGTCTTTTGGAGTAACAAATTACTGTATCCGTAAACTGTTTTGAGGGAGAAAATAGTCCAGCCTTTTTTCAAGGATCCCAGCTCATCTTTAAGACCTTTCAAGTTCATGACGAAGGCAATAGCCAAGCCAGCATTACAAAGGGGTGTTTTTCCACTAATTTTCGATTGGATGCAGGAATTATGATGAAGGAGCTACGTTCCCAAATTTGAATGGGGGAAATACTCCATCCATTATGATTTTAATCTCATTGAAACCAAGCAAGACTAGAAAATGATCTGAGGTAACTCTTAAGCTATCCAAATCTCTCTCAAGCCAATGAGAGAGGAGGAAGGATGATCCCAAAAATATGTCCTAGTAAAATGATCGTTGCTAAGGGGCATATCATCACTAGGAGCAAAACCACTACTTAGCTTATTGAAGAGATGCTTTCATTTTTTTTTTTTGGTATTTGTGAGCATCCGGAACAGCTTGTGCACACCTCTACTAATCTCATGGGATAACCTAACTGTACTACATTTGACTGCCAAGAAAACTTGAAGGATAGTAAATCCTAGGTAGGTGGCCACCATGGTTTGAACTCATTCCCTCTAAGTACCCCATGATAGTTCGAAGATAGTTTGAAGAGATGCATTTTTTTTGTAATAGGCTTACCATGAAATGTCTGCAGAGGACCATCTAGATGCATGAAAATCTAGCTCTCTTACATTCCAAGGGAGGAATATCATTAAAAATTTGAGGCGGTTTAAAAATAAGCCTTTGACTAAAGATCTTTTCATCCAGGATCTTAGCCCTCTTACATTCATACAGGGGAATATCATAAAGCGACTATCAGCCCCATATGGCAGCAACTGTCTTCATCTTTTCGTGGTGGACTGAGAGGTTAATTAGCTCTTTAGTACCTCTGTGCAGTTTTGCATTTCCTCTTTTTTGTGCCAATGGAGAAGATGCAAAGGTTCACCACCATCGGCCAAGTCCAAAGATTCGACATGGTTGGAGAGGAGGGGTTCAGATGTGGGGAGGACTGCAAGGCTGGCACCCAAAATCGGATGGAAGATGGGAGGAAGTGAACTCCTGTTGGTTAATAGCATGGAGTTGAGCCGGTGGGGCATCATCAAGGATTTTGGAGGGATCGGGACAAGGGTCAGGGTTATGGGCATCATCAAAAGAAGCAATCACCTCAACTAGGTAAAAAATGTAACAGTCGAGTTTAGATGACAAAATTTTTAAATTTTCCTGTAGTAGAAAACCAAAAAGGATCGACATATAGCGCAACACCAGAGTTTAAGAAAACTCCCCAAGACTCAGAAATAAGACGCTTCAACCTAAACTGGGAAAAATAAGAACATTGCCTCACACAGTGCGTTACCAACTTGTGATAGACATAACGGACAGCATTACCATAAGTCCAAATTCTCAGTACCTGAGCTGCAACCGTGTGTGAACGAGTTGGGAAAAGCTTAGTAATACAAGCAGTATTAAATCCATGCTCTGACAATCCTATAGCTGCTCTAAGTCCCGCACCGCCGGCTCCTACAACAACCGCATCGTATGTGTGATCAACCACAGTGTAGGAAGAGCGACCTGCCGTCTGCCATGAGCCAGAGAGGAAAGAATTTTATATTTAATTAAATCAATCAGCAGCCACCATCACACAAATACTGGCGCTGTAGAGAAGAAATTTGAGAGAGCTAGCTGCGATCAGTACAATCAATGATTCAATGCTAAACAGTTACATTTCATACTCTCGTGCACGCAATTACCCAAATCAACACACTATTGAAAAGCACAGCACACTAACAATCCAGGACGGCGGCATAAAAATAAGAGAGAGAGAGAGAGAGAGAGAGAAATATAAAAAGCAAAAGTACACTCTGTTCATCCACGCCAGATGCCACCAACAGAGATAAAAGGAAGACGAGAAACCGCGAGAAGAAAAAAAAATCATAATAGCAATAAAGATCCAGACGAGCGTCGGAGCTCAGATTCAGTAATCAAAACATAGGAGAGAAATTCATACCGAATCGACGGAGAAGAATCTGGAAATGTGAGATCTGAGGTGATCATTGGGGGACGATTTCCTGGAAAACGAAGAAGAAACACGAGAAACACAGCGCCACATCTTGCTTCACCACCTCTGTCCAATCCTCTGAAGAATCTGTGTGTAAGAATGAATGGAAGGGAAGAAAAGACGGCGGTTCTGCTCCTCTTGAAGCTCGCCGGTGGCCGTAAATGGGGGTTGTGTTGGGGTTTGTTTGTCTTTCTACGGAACGAATCCCAGGTGGAGGCGAATGTGAGAGAACTGACTGCGCTAACTCAATAATAATGCCTCCGTAAGCCCGAAATTAAATAATTTATTATTCCTTTCAGAAAATAAAATAGAATATTAAGACATAAATGTGGATAAAGGTTAATGGGAATAATATATATTAGTTTTTTATTTTCCACAGGCCAATGGAATTGTCTTTTGAACTATGAGTTCCCTGTCTAAATTTTAGATTTGGTAGGAAAAAAGAAAAGTCAACAGATGAACTTACATAATAAAAGAAAATTTTAAATATTTAAATATTTTTCTGTTATCTGTGTTTGTAATTATTACCAATAGTTTATTTTGAATCACGTATTTTTTTTACTAAAATTATTTAAATAATTTAATTTACCAATCTAGTTGTAACAAATATTTGACAAATAAATATTTAATAAAATAATACACGTATGTACGTAAAGTTAAAAAATAATTTAGACAAATCAACATGAATCTAGTTTAGTAGTAATATATCGAGTTTGAATCTACCGGCATATTGTAAAAAGTAATTTAGATAAGTTAAAAATTAAAATACTAAATATAGACAAATAAAGGTAAAAATGGAAATTTATATTTGAGTAAAGTTTCATCGATGATAAAGCCTTCAGTCTGCGGAACCCGAAAAATAGAGTGCCCATATCGTTACCCTCTGGTGAAAACAAACAAAGTTTAAAATAAATAATAATAATGACTGGTAAATTCCATATTAACGCGTTGCAGGGAAGTTGGGGCTACGTGGCTTTGTCCTAATGGCGGTCGCGGAGAAAAAGGTGAACGGCAGGGACGTGAAGCAGCTAATGGTGCAAATTAGTTCACGTAAGCATTTTTATTTGCCGGTCACGGACTCACGTGGGTCTTTAATCCACCGCGTGCCCGTGGGGTGTATTTAAAAAATAATTAATGAAAAAATCAGGGTATTTTTATAAATATATTTTGAACTAAATTAGTGTTGTTTCAATAATTACCTTTAGAACATGTAATTCCATCGATATTAAACTCGCGTTTTTCAATTCGTTATTTTAAGTTTCATCCCTGCGAGTAAATACACTATAATTTCAAATTTCATAAAGTTTGAACTCTCTAAAAAAATAAAAATATGATATTTCTAATTTGTTTCAACATCTCACCATGTTATTCGAATCTAATATTTTAAAGAAAAAGACATTTGTCGTTACTTTTTCAAATGTTTTTTTATCAGGACTATAAAAAAATATTTCTCGTTTTAATAAAAAAATCTTTAAATTTGAAAGTTTTTTTTAACATTTTTTTGTTTTAATGAAAATGTTAACTTTTATCACCGAAAACTTGGTGGGATGAGATGATTTTTAACTTTAATATTTTCAATTTCATTGAGTAAAAGAGTCAGGATGAAAAAGATTTTTGCTTTTTTTTCCAAGTTTTTTTAGTACAACATTGTGGGGGTAGGGTAGGGTTCGAATTCATGACCTTTTTGTCAAAGATAGTGCTCTAACCACTTAAGCATGGTTTGACTTTTTTTTTCTTTTTTTTTTCCAAGTTATCAGACTTCAAATTTGATAAATTTATCTTCTATTATAATGAATCACATTGTCTTTTCAATGTTATCGAACCAACTTGTTGTAACACTCAGAAAGTTCTTTTCATCATTAACATTCTTGTGGTAATGCCAAATCGAACATAGCTCAGCGATAATTGGCATATATCTTCAATCAATAAGTTGTGAGTTTGATCTCCTACCTCACATATTGTACTAAAAAACATTCTTGTGGTAATAATAACATGTCTTGTTTTGAAAGGTGGCATGAAACAATATTACTCCTCTTCTTAGTTAAATTAGCTCAACATCAAAGACAGCTTTTCGTTGTCTTCTCAAAAAATAGATCTCCTAGTTAGAGCCGTAGCAAGGAAGGAAGGACGAGGATAATTGGCCCCAATTAGTCTTAGATTAAACACATTTTATATATATATATATATTAGGATTTAAAAGATTCTCTAAATGATTATATATCAAAAAAGTTAAAATAAAACCTTGAATATTACCAAAATATATGAAAATTTATCAACCTTCAAAGTTATCAACAAGAGAATACAGCCCACTAATTAGGCTTCAAAGTCTGAAACTTAGTAAAAGGCCCAAATAAGTCAAAGAGCCCAAAGCAAAACCCAACAACCAAAATACAAAAACATTATTAATAAGAAAATTGAATGCATGGCATTTGCATGTTGATTTCTTAACCACTTGGAGCTATACTCGGTTTGGCGCATAAATCAGTAGTTAAGGTATATGTCAGATCAGGAAGTCATGAGTTCGAGTCCTCCCACATTGCCAATTAAGATATCTAACTCCTTCCTTCCATAATGAAGGTTTAATTCCCAATCTCCACAATTGTTATACTATATATATATGTTTGTCTCTGTATTAAAGACCATAGCGTCAAATTTTCAGCTCTTATAAATTGACATTATATTTAAAATAAATTAACTACCTTGGTCATTAACTCATGCAATTAAGTAACACAAAATTGTCAACCAGAACATAGCTCAGTCCGTTAATGTACATGTATCCAACTTTAAAGTTAATAGTTCGAATTCCCACCCACATGTTATATTAAAAAAAATGTAATACAAAACTATAATCAGTCTCTAATGTCCATGTAATTATGATATTAGACTAAAAGGCCAAAGTTTGGGCAAAATGTTGAGTTCCCACTTACCATAACATCAGAAAGAGATTTTTTAAATTAGGAAAACAGATTATGTTAAACATTGGGCATTGGAGAAATGGAAATTAAATGGGGTCCCTTTTATTCCATTTCATATACCATATCGATATCGCCGGAAGCAGCAGCAAAGCAAGCCAATTTGCTCTAATCAATTTTAAACACTTCTTCCCCACCATTAATCTATACTCTCATTTTCTCTTTTCTCTTTTGTAAAATTTTTTATTTAAGAAAATCAAAATAGAAAAAAACAACCATACGTTTTTGTAACAGGAGCGATGATTGTCCATTCAAATATAACTATTTGAATAAGATACATATTGTCATCACTATGGTTGAGGGTCCAGCACCATCTTTATAATTATTGAAATTGGAGAAAAATAAAAATGATGATTTTTTTTTGTTTAGTTTTGAATTTTTTTCTTAGAGATGAAAGAAAGAAAGTAAAGAGGAAAAAAAAATCAAATTGGAAAGAGTGGATGATAGGAACTTACAATATTGAACCTCTGACTTTTGGTGATAAAAAATAGGATAAATTACTAAATTAGTCTCTATTGGTTAAAGTTTGGCTTTAATTTAGCTTCTAAAGTTTTAAAAGTCTAATTATAATTTTTATTTTAATTAATCTTAAAATATCTAAATTACTAGTCACTAATAAATGTTAATAGTTTTCTGATATGACACATTTCTTTGAGCGTGTGAAAGAGAAAATGGATGAGTTGACATTTAGTATGAGGTATATATGTATGAAGTTAAATTTGGTTGATTGAATTAAAGTTTGAGTTGGATTAGAAAAAAAAAATCTGCTCAATTTTTAGGTAAAGAGGAAAATAGTGAGTATTCACGCTCATCCTCACAAATCTTAATCCCCAACACCTATCTCTTTTCTTTTTGTCCCGTTTCGAAATAAAACATATCAAAAGGTCGTTGTAGGGATGTTTTAGAAATTTCGATCAAACTATAGGGACTATAAACCACATAATGACACATACAAGTTCATTTACGCCAAAATAATAACACTACTTTTTCCCTTGTAAAAAATCAATCTCGCAGATGCTAGCTCTATATTGAAGTTGCAAGAAAGAAAAAAGAACACTAGAATTTCTACTAGTTCATCTCTGACTCTGCATTATGCTCTACTTCTCTGGATTTCTTCTACCTATGCTCATTTATAATTATGTATCATTAGTACTCTTCCTTTTTCGAATACTTCTTGCCATCCACTCACATGAAAAAAGGTAATTATGCATCCTTAAATAATTCATTATTGCAATTTTTTTGAGTTTGATTATTGGCCAAACCTCAATTATTTTGGTTTAGAATCATGTAGAGGTAGTATCTCGAAGAATCCTTCAATTTTCACCAGATTTAAATTAGTCGTCTTTTCATTTAATTATTTTCTATTTTATGATTAGACTATAAGATCTAAGGGGAGACTATGCATGAAAGAGAAAGGAACCAAGTTGTATAATAGTAAAATTAATCCCTCAAAAGAATTGACATTTTAACAAGAATATGATTTGAATAGAATCCTATATAATAAATTGATAATGTCATTATTAAGTACCATTATAAATGACGCTAATTCTTATCAAAAATAAATTTTAATTAAAACAAATAACAAAAACAACTTAATGCACTTTGAATGATGATGGAAAATAACACAACATAATTTTAAAATTCTATTTTAATCCCAAACTTTCAAATATTACGTTTCAATCCTCAGACATTGCTTAAAAAACAATTTTAGTCTTTTCAATTAGTTTTTGAATAATTTATCTAATAGAAATATGGTATATTCAAATTTCAATCGATTAATAGATGTCGCATATGTAGTCGGTCGATTTCAAATTTCTCATCCTACTTAAATTTTCGTTGTAAAGTTTAAAAAACAAAACAAAACATTTAAAAGTGTAAACATCTGACTGAAATAAATATAAAAATACAACTTACAAATATAGTAGACGATTCAAATAAAGCCTCAATTGATTAAGAGAGAGGGAGAGACGAATATGCAAATGATATACAAACTAATACAGCAACATCATTGAATCAATCACAAAAGACAGGTTGAAAAATTTAATAAGGAAGCCCTGTAGTAGATTTGTCTGATTGAAAGAGTTTTTGATTAAGAGTTTTTGAGTAGTGGGCCTCTGATTCGGCCATTAATGATGAATCTCCTCAGTCCTCATGCATATTTCTTAACTCACACCAGAGAGGGCTGTGTGGACTGGTCAAAGATTGCGACAGCGTACTGATAAAGGGTTGTTTGGAGGAAGCGTTGGCCACGTCTAAATCCAAGCGTGAGGCAATGATTGTGGGATCTGGTCTT